GTGTAAACCATACGGGAATTAGTTTAATCAACATTCCATATAGACTTCTCTCTGGTATCATACGCCGTCGATTGTCTGGCGCACTTGAACGGTGTACGCGTGAGAACCAGGCTGGTTTCAGACCTGGTCGAGGCTGTATTGACCATATCTTCGCACTTCGTTAAATTCTAGAACACAGACACTCTTTTCGTAGACCCACCATATTTATATTCCTCAATCTGAAGGCGGCTTTCGATTCGGTCGACCGCTCTTAACTCTGGCGCTGCCTTTCCCTTTAGGGTGTGCCCGAGAAGTTATTCGCAATATTACAATCGCTCTATACTAAAAGCCGAGCTTACGGCACTTTTTCACCCGAGTTCACCACCGAAAGTGGTGTCCGACAGGGTTGCCCTCTCTCCCCTTTTCTATTTAACTTTGTCATAGATTTAACTCTTGAAACAGCCCCATCCTCGTGCGAGGATAGCGGTATCGATTTACTCCCAGGTCTGATATAGAGTATGCAGACGACATTGTGCTGCTAATTGAAAATCCAGGTAAGTTGCAGGCATTTCTGGATAGTTTGAGTGCTAGTGTATCCATGTTTGGTATGCATTTTGCACCTTCAAAGTGTAAAATGCTACTACAAGATTGGGTTGGACCCTCACCTATTCTCACCCTAACTGTGGAAGTAGACAAATTTTGATATCTGGGCAGATATATCTCATCTAGCGAACTCATCACAGATGAAGTGCCGGCGCGGCTACAAAAGGCTTGGTTGGCATTTGCCAAATTCAGACATTTGTGGCTCCGTCGCGATATCCGGCCGTCTGTGAGGGGTCGAGTGTATGCGGCAGCAGTTCGGCCAGTCCTGCTCTACGGTGCAGAGACTTGGCCTTAACGGGAACAGGATAAAAATAGCCTATCGATGTTCGAACACCGCTGTCTACGTAGCATTGTACGAGTCTGGTGGGGTAACCGGATGAGCAATGCTGAGGTTAAGAGCAGAGTTTACTGGAGCAAGTGATCGACCTCCATAGATTACGTTGTTTGGGGCATGTGATACGCGCGTCACCAGATAGGTTACCATGGCAAGCGATGCTTGCCAAGGCTGGTAGCAGTTGGAAAAAGATCAAGGGTGATCAAACTAAGACCTGGCATGAGGGTATGAAAACCCTAACCAGGATACTAGGTCACATAGGCCCCGTTAGACTCCCCGGCTGGGAACTTCGGGATGATGGTCACCGATGGTTAGAGACACTGAGTGATATGGTTGGGTGCCGCAGTGGCGCTCGTGCATCCACTCATTATTCCCCTATCACTATTCTATATGAGTCATCTATCTTCCGCTTGAATTTGCTTTCAACTTTCCAATCTTCATTCTGCTCTTTTATCCAAATGAGGCACCCAAAGACAGCAATCAAAACCGGTGAACAAACGAGCATGGTTAATGGTTGTAGGAACTGAAACTTGCATAAACGCCCAACACTGGATGCCGTTTCTTCTCTAGTTCACTTCATCTGCAAGTCCCTAAATGATAAATCCAAACATTTGCAGTGCTTTTCTTGACTGTTCGTCCGCTTTCGACAGTCTCCCGTTCTCCTTTGCTTAACAAGTCGCAATCGTTTGGTTGTCCCACTTCTCTTCTTGAATGGTTTAATGATCGCTTTTCGTTAAGATATCAGTATATTAAACTTGGGAGAAGACAGTCAACGGCGTCACTTATTAGCTCCGGTTTACTTCAAGGGGCTATCTTATCACCTCATCCTTTTTCGACTTATATCAGTGACTTACCCACTACACCCTCCGTACAACACTTAGTATGCTAATAATATTGCCATTTCTGTTGTCGTGTGCAACCGATCAGAATTGGCTGCATATAGCAAGCTTTACCCACCTCGTTACGTATTCCACTTTATCCTGCCTTAACCTGAACACCTTGAATGTATTTTTACTCTAAACCGTTTCCCATCTCCCTCGGATAATCTACACATTCAGGGAAAGCCGATGAGAAGCGTCGGTCATGTGAAGTACTCATGCATCACACTTGAAAGTACACTTCGCTGGTCTGTAAATACTCAAACTGTTGCTCGCAATCTGAAAGTACTCTCCTTCCAGATAGGATAACAGCACCTTTTATTTGTTGGTGATAGGAGCTTTTGTTCAACCATACGTTCTCCCTATACTCTCTACTTCTCCCCTGCCATTTTCCCTTTTAACTGAAAACCGATTTCAAGCTGCTGAGGCGTGGCCTCTCAATGGTCATTTGTTATCAACTGTGATGGACAATTTCCATGATGTTCACATTGACGCGTGCTTGAAATTTGCTGATAATAATCTTTCTCATTGCACCCATCCTTTATACATTGAACTGTGTGCAGACGAATCCCACCCATCCACCTGTTCCAAATACAAGCTCATCCCAGCTCGGATATTTGCTTACAGAAACTTTCCGGTACCCTACCTTGTCCGTTTAGAGATCAACAAGCAGAGCGTCTGTTCTGAGCTTTCTAATGCATCTAGTAGTTAATGCACGTTTTCACACGCTTAAAGTCCCACTTTCCCGCTATTTGCCAGCATTGTGACGGTGGTCTCATTTTGGCTCACTCGCTGAAGCTTCAGTACAATACAACACAATGCCAAGAAGCTTTTCTGATTCCTCCAGAGATCCCAATTAATTACTGAAGTCTTCAGAGACTAAAACAAAGTAGATCAACCTAGGAACATGGAGCAATCGAGAAAGATCCTTGTAGAATTATTCATCATTTCAGACGACCTACAGTCAGTCGGTGTAAACATGGGAAAGACTAATAAGCACCGACGCTTCGTTTTGTAGCTGTTGACACGTACTGAAAAGTTGAGACATACAGCGCACAGTCGGCTACTCACTGGAATCCAGACAAGAAGCGAACGCTCAACCTTGGCGATTAGCACAATCCCAATACCAGCAACATTGCGAATGTCGGATGCCGAATTGCCTGACACGAAAGGTATGAGGTTGAGTCAGGAGAAGGCAGAGAGAAGCATGGTCGTGAGCCGGAGATGCGACATACATCTAAATTGAATGTTTCAAGGGTTCTTACCAAGGCAGCTTGTTGACCAATCTGGTAGGGTGCGGACACCAAAAGCAGCTAAGTGAAAAGGGAATTTTGGCTTCCAAAATCCTTTAACTTCGGATTGTTTGGCCTTACTGGTAAAACGTTGAGTGGTATCCGGTGGGTGGCGTAAACAAGGGGCATCTGGGATTATTCGTGTTTGAGAGGTAGGGCTAAGCAGATGCGCAATAATGGGTGCCTAAGACTTTAGGGCAGGACATAGCCAACGGTAGCTCACACAATGAAGGAGATTCTCTTTGGGAACCCTAACCAGAGCCTTTGACCCACAAGGCAATGGGGCGTAGATTATAAGAGGGAGCGTAACCGAAGTATCCGTGTGGGAGCTTCTAGAGACTTGTCCCGCAAAGACTTCAGGCTTCGGTTCAGTGTGTTATTTGCTTTTGTGTTGATTGTTGGTTCACTTCATGCACCTAATGAGATAGGCGGGACGTGAACAGGACAGAACTTTATTGGTTGTGGGCTGGCCCGCTTGGGCGGGCGGTAGCTGTCCAGTGAAGTGCGAAAACTTCTCCCACCGTATAGAGGGAGCTTCAGGTACCCCGCTCCTGCGTCCATCTAGCGGGGCTTTTGACCAGTAAACTGCCCCTCCCGGTGTTTATTTGCTGGGGTGGGTAGTCAAAGGGAGTGCCCAAACAGCTGGCCTTGTGAGACTGACCTTCGTCTGGCGTCTACCCATCGACCTTTCAGGCATGATTGGATCTAGAGCTGAGGAACGCCATCCTGTGTAGCTTTCAGGGTCATGAAGGCAGGCAAACCATGACACCATGTCAAGGTGCAGTCTCGTCGCGATGGCGAGTTATACATACAAATTAGCTCGACAGAACTTCACTTGTTTTTACTTGACGGTCATCTTGTTTATTTCGCCGTCCGCCGCACGGTTTTCCCCGAGATGCGCTATGAAGTACGAGTGAACGATTTTGATCAAGTTCAAACAATCACCATTGTGCACATGTTCTAAACTCACTCTAATCCATGCTCCGACTACTGATTCTCCCGATACTCCCCACGTTTGATTGAACGATATACAAGCAATCAATTATCTCACGCATGTAGAATAATCCGCATCAGGTTAGCGAGAGAAAAAACCAGCGTTTTGTCAAAATAGACTTGCTTCGAGCAGTGAAATAATAAACCACAGACTGCAAGAGCTGAAACTAATATCTTGGATATTGTAACTTTGTATTCACTGACAGTTTGCGTTCTCAATCAATCAAAAGTGGCCTGAGAACCTGGCGTTTATACAAGTTTCATTTGCTTGCAAAGTTGAACTAGTTTTTATTGAGGTACTAGGTGTAGTCTCATCACTGCTCAAATGGTATAGAGTACACTATACAGTGATAAAGGTGACGCCTATACGTGGGCTCGAATCCCGGGATCTTTACGTAATCTAATTATACGAAAAGGGGTTGTAATTGATATGGGACTCAAACAGATAATTTAATAAATCCGCATGCTCAACATGCGATTGCGGACAGAACAGTTTGCATTACATGTATGATGATCCCTGGCAAGCACTGTGTTGGTACACAAGTAAAATAAACATTTTGCATTCCCTGAATAAACTCAAAGCGGCACAACTTAAATGACGTTTTGTTCCTCACATTTATTCTGCGTTTGCCACACTTTGGTTAGCGGTGAAACTTTCACTGTTCTTCACCACAATCACATAAATCGACACAGAAAGGCGAAACCAGTTTCGGCATAATGAGATTGATCGGGGTTGTTTTTCAACCCCCCGCCCAACCCGGCATAGAACCTCGGCGAGACTTCGTGTTTTGATTTTGGTCAGAAACCCAGAACAGAGGGGAAAAAGTTATTTCTGAGCAATCAATAAAAGCTATGATGATATTAGGAATCAAATCGGAAATCAGTTTGTTCACGCGGGAAGTGGGTGCGGGAGAGTCAATATCACACAACACGGATTCGGTCCCGAGGCAACAACGCCCGACGCATCGTGTTAATACGTTCATCCAATTGAGCTAAGCCTTTGCGAAATTCAAGTTCGTCTGCAGTGTGTAATGAAGATGCGTCCTCGCTGCTATGGCTGACCGTGGAAGCGATAGATTGCTCGTCCATACTATCCTGTGGTTCCGGCTGATCAGAGAAACGAAGTGTAAACAGATAAGTATAAATTTTGGTGACAATATCATGCTGCTATCCGATTTCAGCTGTAAATCTACCACAATCACTTGGTGTAAAAAAACCGTTTAAATTTAGATTAAAGTATCAAAGAAAATACATTATTTATAAAATGTAAGGTAGTCTTACCTGATGACGAGTGTTCATTCGTAACAGTGTCTGAAAAGCTGCTAATGATTCGCATCTTAAAAATGAGAATTCAAAAATACAAACATTAATTTGTACGAACCGGCTGAAGAATTTTGTAGAAATATGTCATTCCTACTCCTCGAACACCCACCCCAGCACTATACTATAAAGATGAGAAAAATTTACTATTCGTAGTAAGTTTACCCAAACACGCATGTCTGTTCAGTCAGTGTTTTGTTTGACCCACAGACTTTGTCACGAGGTGGCATCGGTTTTTTTGCAACCAGTTCACCAACAGTCAGTAGAAAATTGGATTTACTGCCCTGGTGACAGGAGGTGGATACGCACAGGGAGAGAGGATCTGACGAAAAGGATGTGAAGGATCAGCTCGAATCGGGTCACGCAGGATGAGTGTAAGTCCAATGACGTAAAACGCAACGACATCCGAAGATGTAGGCATACAATTTAAAAAGTCAGATTTCTGACATTAAGAAAAGACAAAAAATCAAGGTGTTTGAATTGTGGTAACCATCTGACGATTGAGTTTACTTAGCTTAAACTGTGCTCTGTTGGCTGCATGCTCGCCTGTCTGATGCAACCCATCTTATCTGTGATCAATCAAAACACACAAGTATAAAACTTTTTTATAAAAAGTATTGCACCGTGACTTGTTTGGGGTGTGAAAATAAAATTAAAATAAACACAAGCATGCACATTGCATTTTAGGCAACTAAAACGCTTTTATTGATGACAATAATAATAATCTTTTTTCTTTCTTCTATTGCATATACAAATGAACTACTTTCAGGAAGGGGATGAACTGCAATCATTAAGACGCTGACCGTGGACACAAATCGAAGGGAAAAGTTGGGTGTTGGTGTATGGATCTTAAGGTGGTGGTCACCTTTTGTTTTTTTTTGTACTTTCTCCATCAATTTTCATCCATAAATATGCAGACGACGTACTATTAGATGGCACTAGCCCCAATCAGCCATCAAATTTACCGATGGAGGGTTTGTCTGCTTTCCAGCACGACAACTGATCACTTAAAGGTTGACAGTTAACCTTAAACATTTGCAAACAAATTCGCTGATCGGTAGATCGCATTAGGGCATTCACTAGTGATAGGTATTCCGTATGTAGCGTTTCAGTGTTTGCGTAGCCAACTGCTCAGATTTGAAGGAACAACGGGATAAATAAACCTGGGATTGCAAACTGGAGACGGAGTGATTCATAAGTGACAACAAAAGTGGATAGTCAACCGAGAAAAATGATAGCACCATGGTCACTCAAGTGCGGCTTCGTTCGAGATGATCAGAATTGAATACACACACACAAGTGAAGGTAATGGGTAATAACTTCAATGAAGCATGCGGAAGGCGGATGCTAAAATGGTGTAGTTGGCAGTGAAACATTCACACCAAAGAATGGAGTAGTGTGAAATTAACAAACTAGAAGTTGACCGTCGTCATCGACAGTCTCACCTGTTTTTCGTCATTCGGCTGCGGTGTGAGCACACGTTCCGGTGAAGAGGTGGCACTAACGTCAGTGCTATGCCTTAAGGTGGAATCTCTGAGTTTCACTGGTGGAACCTGGATGTTTCTGTATAAAGGAGATGAGAGAAGAGTATCGAAAATATTTCTGTTTCTGTGTATTATGCAATGCTATCACAAAATGCGAACCAGTGGGCGGAATGCAGAGGGTAGTCAAGAATGCGTTTCTTCTTCTAACTGAAAACTCACACACCACTTTGCTGGAGGGCTGAATGTGGCCAAATCACGCGACATTTATTACGTTGAAAACACTGCAGGAGTAAATGTAACCCATAAAACAGTGAGACGATGCTTAGAGTCCGTAATAACGATGAAACGTAAAGGTATGAAATTCTACAGTCCATGCAATGCGGGGAAACCTTCGGTGGTACTCATCAAACATTGATAACTTCTAAACGAATTACAAAGTTGCCAACACATGCATGAAAACCCTTGTGGGAATCGAACGATGGACTTTTACCCATAAGGGATGACAAAGAGCCCCGGACAGCTGTTCCGTCCTTCATGGAACTCACAAAATCTTTGTGGCCTGGGACTGTGACTGGGACCATTGGGTCGAGAGCTAAAACTGCCCTCCCCCGCGAGCTACATGCATCCATCATTTAGCTCAGATAAAATCGCTGCTTAGTGGGTCAGTCCTTGGATAGCCGAATTTTCCAGTTGTGAATTCCCCAAGAAAATTCACCTCTCTTGGCCTGGGTAAGCTGACAGTATTCCACCCATGAACAAATCACGGAACACTTTTCATTTTTATAAATTTTTTTGTACTGATTCGTTTGGCGCATAGTTTGGACTCAGTTGTATGATATATATATATATATATATATATATATATACATACATACATACATACATACATACATACATATATATCAGATGTACCTTGATTAAAGGGAAGCAGTGTAAAAAAGGATTCTTATCGATGCCTCGATAAAAAACGATCAAAAAATGAAGATAACCACGTGGTCAGTGCTCTAAGCGATTATCTATAGCTTTGTGAATTTATTCGCAAATAAAGCATTTGAAAAATTAGCCCGCATGAGATCACCGATACCAATCAGTCATTTCGTCTGCTACCCGTATTTCGATCAATAATGACGGTGGAACATATGCATCTGAAATCAGTCCGAAAATCTATCCGGGATTTGAAAACTGCATACAGCTTCCACGGATTTCCGCTCAGAATACACCAAATACATGGAGAGAAACGAGGACAACAAGAACAAACAATGATTTTCCACCGAGTGTTCACGTGAGTGATTTCTCGTGGAGCACCAATCGACCCGATGGTATGCAGACTTGATTCGGTCTAAACATCGTCCGGATAGAACGGTATCGCTTATTTGACGGATTGTTAAGCGGTATTAATAAAACAGCCCCAAAATTCACGGTCCCATGAGTTCCGTTCGGAGGACGCAAATCTATGGTGAAACAGATTGCGCTTCGTTCAGGATTTCTTAATTATTGCCATTCTTTCAAAACTTTGACTCCTGGTCATTCACGCGTGCACCAGTAGGACAGAATCTGAACAACTCAGCAAAACAAACGCAGAGTAGAAAAACAAAGAGGAAAAGACTTTGTTATTTTTTAGACATTCGACCGACTTGTCTTAGGTCAAAAGTACAACTGACAAAGGTGACGAACGTAGGTTCACGAAGTTGGATCGCCTGCGGGTAGTTGAGCAGAACACAACCCATCCACAACCAAATAATACAAAGGGATCAAAAGTGTCGAACAGAAGTTAGTTATTCATCAATCATTGCGTAATTCATACAATTTCTTACAGTCAACAAAGACTTTCTTGACTGAACGTCGAATAAATCACAATGGCATGGATGGAACGCACACTTTCCGAAAGGTTCTTTTGTTCTCGTGATAACTTCATACTCCAGACGCAATTCGACCTGATGGAAACTAGTATGTTTTCAAAAACAAGTAAGATTTACCGGTTGATCTCATAATTAGTTTTTGGAGAGCATCAGCCACATCAGAGCTGGTCTTCGACCCCAAAACAAAAGGCACCCACTGTCGAATGGCAAGTAAATTAGCGGACGAAAAGATCAATGCTTGCAAAAGTAAAAATAATACGATCAAACAGACAGAGACATACTCGTACGGTGCATTCGCAGAATCAGTTCTTTTTGATGATGCAGCTGGCTTCCGTTTCTCACCTGCTGATCGGTGGATCACGGATAGCCCATTCTCGCAACATGATGGTTCACACAAATTGCTCGACCTTGTTAGCGTAGCCCTATTCATATCCAGTGGTACGGTCCGATCGGATTCCAATAGCTGATGAGCAACACCAAAAGCAGCTCGTGATGAGGGTACACGCTCCAACAGAGAAAGACGAAACTGGAGCTGACTGATTTGATAATCAGCCAGACGTAATTCGTTTCGCAACTCGGTATTGGATTTGATCAATTCTGATTCCCGATCCTGACAGGCACGCAACTCGGCCTGAATTCCGTAGAAAGGAATGAACAAAAATGAGTGGTGATTCTTTATTCTAGCGAACGACTAAGGAAAACTTATTCGATGCCACGAATGAGTAGTTACACCACGTGATTTATTAATCAGCTGAGCCAATTAAATATTGTTATGATTGGTGTATATATATGTATATACATATAAATACTTAAGGAACACTGCGTCCACTCTAGGTTGCATGCGCCGAGCTGTATCAACTACTTACAAGTGATAATAATTTGTAAGTATTTAGTATGTATTTCGTTTGATTGATCTCTGCTGAACCATTTCATTCGAGACTGCACCGTCACTTTGTGAGACAGCTTGAGTGTCTCCATCACTCTATGACCCATATATGATAGCTTCTCACAGCTGCAGATCCAATCGCACCTGAACAGTGATTAGGAAGACGACAGACAACTCAGTCTTACAAGACCAGCCGATTGGGCACCTCCTGGCATCCTTTAACCATTAACTTTCGCGCCTGGATAGCTTCAGCAAACACGAAGAGTAGTATCCGTCTAAAAACCCACTCAATGAACGCAGGAGATTCCTCCCGATGATATGATGATTCTTCGTCCTGGGCATCCTCAGCCTCCGTCCTCTGTCCATCTTTCGCCTGCTTTATTAGGTTCATGACACTAAAGGGCGATCCCTAACGGTGGGCCGAGAATCAACGCATCAGCGAACAACACACTGAAAACGAACCCGAAGGCCTCGTGTGACGGAACTTTAGAAGCTCCGGCAGGGGTGCTATCGTTACGTTCACACGTTGGGTGTACGCCTCACTACATTATGGGTCACTCTTTTGTGTGGAAGGTTCCGTCCATGTCATATAAAGAAAACTTAGGTTTTTGGTGTGGGTTACGGTGAAGTATGGCGTTCCCCAAGGTCTCAAGCACTCAGCTGCAAAAATTCCTCTTATATGTTTAGTTCATTTTCTATCCCGATTCATACGAGATGCCATTCAGAATTTACCTAGCAGGGTAAGCCAGTCATGATCTATGGGATTGGTGAAGCCACAATCTCTTATTTATTTAGCCGCGTTTAATGTCTACCTGATCGATACATAAGCTACTAATCTAGAAAGCAAGCTCATCAAGAGCTCAAAGAATGACCGCTAGAAGTGATAGGCACCAAAACATGTATAGAGAAGAAGGTTGCCGTCATTGGTAAGCACAAACCTTTTCTGTCCAATAAGGAGTACGGGCTCAAGGAAACTAAGCGTAAGGTAATGAAGGAGTCCGATGGCATGCTGACTGAAGTTCTATAACGCCGTCTTTAGCGACCGGCGGAACATTTGAAAACCAGTTCAACTGGTTCCCATAGATATTAGAGTTGTCAACTCCTGCTTCAATTATATAACTACTGCCAGTTGACATTAGTAATAAATTCTGAACTGGCAGTTACTCGGGATATAAGTTATCTCAAAAGATAGAAAGCCTCAGACCCGGCTTTTAAAGATGAAAGTGCAATCTTAGCATTGGGGTAGACGATACTTTTTCGCCATTCATTTCACAACTGCGTTTTCTTTATACCAGTAGCTGGTGTCATGACAGAGCTTACCGCCTTTTTGGATCGAGTTCATCACAGAAAGTGGTGTTTTTCGGGGTTGTCCTTGTCTTTTCTATTCGTCTTCACGGTACACTTAGTTCTGTAAGCAGCCGTTAACTCCAGCGGGCATCGATATGTTCCCAAGTAGAAAATTATTTGATCTGGAATATGCAGACGATATTGTACGATATTGTAAAAGGAAGTTTCGGGTAAGTTGCTAGCTATCTGGGATGGTTTGAGTAATATTGTAGGGCACGTTTCTTTCTCATTTGGTGTTGTGCCTTGAGTGTGTTACGCATGTCAGAATGGACTGTTACAGCTTGCGATATGTACTGAGACAGACGAAGGCAGTTGAATTAAGACGTGATATGAAGTTTAGAAAATCATGACTGATTCATATAGGTCGATTTAGGTTAAATGATTGGGGACCTCCGGATCAGTGCAAACGAGGGTTAGATACAGTCAGTAATACGGCATTGTCGTAAACAGCCGAGCTTTTATTCTCTCTCAGTCGACTTGAATTCTCAATTTTCAAATTGGAACGACCCCTAGCATTCTAAGTGATCTCTATTCCTTCATCCAGATGGGCTATCAAAAAACAGCAGCCATAACCGCCGCGCTAAGTGATAAGGATTGGGGCTGTATAAACTGAAAATGAAACAATTTTTATACATTCGCAAGACCTCTTACTTTCTCAAAAGGAATACACTATGAAATGGTTTGTTGATAAATTGAGTACCTTAGAATTGTGTCGATCCTAAAGGAGATGTCTCAACACACCTAAGACCTGATTGGGGTCCATGGCCAACATTTATTACTCTCATTTCTTTTGGAGTACTTACTATAAGGCTACCTTGTTTCTTTCAGTGGATCTTCAACAGGATTTTTTAACCGATCTAACCAATAGTACGGTTGAACTTCATCCCCACCACCACCACCGCCACAGGGAGCCAGTTCTAAGTATTCCATGCTGAAAATATCACCCTTGCGGAAAGATGAACAAGCTATCTAACATCTCGGAAACAGCTTGGCGACCGCAGAATTTATACGCTGTACGCGCATTGCACCATCAAAATTACTCGTACAAGACTAAACTCACCTTTGCGGTGATTGGTTAGTCGCAAATATCAAGTACTTTAGGGGTAGGGTGACGAAAATCGGCGGTGGTGTTGGAAATACCACACCGTGAAAAACGAGAAGATAAGCGGCTTTCCCCAATCTACGACACCTCAAGCCCTGGCTTTTACCCAAAGGTAAGATGTACATTATTCTGATTCACAGAATTTTGCTTTTAGGGATACAACATCTGTCCTCTCTGAGCTTGGAATGCCAACTAACTTTTGCATTCCATCACCGTTGTTTCTGATTCCATATTGTCTGATGAGAACATCAAGTAAGCAACCAGAGGCTCTTTGTCGTGTGTTGGGTACTGATTGTCGATCGCTTGCTAAATGAGTCAGTCTAAGTAGCCTCGATTCATACCCACCTTCGATGAGTCGGATATGTTTTACGAATACTTGCCCATCGTTTACCCTTCCGTAACCTTCTTCCCAAAACCAAGTAAGGCTGAGAAAGCGACGCAGTGGTTAGATTATGGGTTGGCGTGAGAATATGAGAAGGTCAGCTCAGGTGTTAACTGTCTAAATACAAAGATCCGTTTTATGGGACAATGGCCTGCAATGATTGTCGGATATCCAGAGGGTCAACAAGTCAATAAATCGCGTTTGGTATTGTTTTTATATATCCTGCGTGACGCACATGCACCCTGGACATACGAGCACACACGGATCTGGCTTTCCAACGGTCATTGCTCATGCCCCAACCTGAGTGAACTGGGAGCTCAACAAGGGACCGGGATGCTCAGGCACTATTGCTCTACCGTGCCGGCAGGGTCAGAGGCTTCCATTATGCATCCATAAGAAAATTACCTTCTTTGGACTTGGACAACCAGATACGATTCAAACAAACTCAAATTGTAGGCGCCTAATACCAAAACCTTTTTGATGCATAGTCTCAACTAGAATACGTTTGTGATACAATGCAGTAGAATAACAGCAGATAGGTATGCGCGCCTTATCTGCTGTTTTTATCAGTATTGTCATTGTTCTTGTTGATTGATAACCCGTATGTTAAAGAAAACGCAAACTAAATGCCAAGAATCTGACAAGCTAACCCGAGTGTTGACTAAAAAGAAGCTGAACATATATGACCGCTGACGTCTAGAATCGAACTCATTATCTGCAATGCGATGCAATATTTTGACAGCATTTAGGGGATTCCCCCGATTCGTCGAGTATCATCACAAATCAGACAAGAGCAGGGCAAATAAGCCACCGACAACAAGCTTTAATTGACTGGATACCCATATCTATTTAACAATCCAATAATGATAGTTCGAGTCAGCGAGAAACAAAGATCGTCAGATCATCAGTGCCCGAAATTCAAAAGCTGACGGACAGCCATCTGTGACAGCTTCAAGCTAATCAAAACCAGAACAGAGCTATCAATCAGATACGGGTACAGAGAAAAACGTAACAATAAACTGTAAAAATCGCTTTATTGTTCTCAAAACCTTGACAGTTGGTTTTTGTTTTGTTTCAATCCAAGTTATTATTGGGAACACCAGATGACGAATAAGCTCACACTTACCATTTGATGATCATGCTAGAATACAACGATACTGTATGCTAAACAACCGTTTCTCTAAAAGTATGAACCTGTTTCGTATTGATCTTTTGTGAAAAAGGCTCGTTTCGGCGAATATACGATACTTTTGCAACAGTGTGCATGATACTGTCAAGACCACCAACAAAATAGCTGCTCAGCGCGCCTGGTCGATCATCACACAAAGCTTTCGTTGAAAAATGCTCTTGCCTAGTAGTAGTCGATTCGCCTTCGCAAATCTAGTCCTTATAACTCGGAATAAATTAGATCGCAAACGATTCACCACCAGCCGAGTTGAAATTCTCGATGTGGTTGTTTGGTCAGAGCTAACAAATGTGTATTAGCTTATATCGGTGTTTGAGTGAAGTGACTTTACGCGGAGACTCCCAATTTGTTTTCGGGTATTCTTTGGGTCGGTACATAGCGTGTTTGGTTTTCGGTATCGGTTGATTAATTTGATGCTATTTGTTATCACCAGTCCTTGCATGGCTTTTATGGCTGCTGGTTTTTGGCAGCTGATTTGGATAAAGTAAATGTAAGACTTAGAAGCCGTGTCAAGATGAATATCGAGTAGACGAACGTTGTGAAGAAATTAACCGCTATGGTTTACGACATTATGATTTCACCGAGTGTCGCTAATCCGTATGCTCAAGGATTGAGCAAGGATAGAAACAGGAATACATGATTTTCGTAGTTCGATGGGATTGTTTTTACATAGCACTCATTTTATCCCCTCATCACCGTTTTGCCTAGCACGGCTATCAGTTTTGGAAGTTACCATGCAGTAATCCTTTACCAGTTTGTTCAGCGTCAATCTTCCATCTTCCTTCCCCGTTCTGGGGAGAGTGATACCGGACAAACCTGGGATTGTACCTCCTTTGTTTCATCTGGTTTAAACGTTCGAAGATTTTCTCCGATTTGATCGAGTAATCGGATTCAGTCGTGCAGTGCTTCCCGTCTCTACACTTCATTTATTTTACGCTGTGCATACAAAGCAGTATCATAAGGCGGTTTCGATTACTGTCTGTGCACTACCGAGTTGATCAACCGACGAAGAAGGAGCAAATGAAAGAAGCAAAACACTTGTGAGCACCATCACGGCAAAAATAAATAAGATAGGTAATCAAGATCTGCATGGAAAGTGAGTGGATGCAAGAGCACCATTGTCTACCAAAGTCTCAAATCCTTGATTAGGTTGCTCACGGGACTCATAACCATGAAGACTGCGATCGATATGGACAAGTCTCGTGATTTTCAGGCCTTCATATTACGTAGTAGGCCAACTTCTTCCATCTCCCACTAAGTACGTCTATCCGATACGCACAACAAATGCTCCAGCGTCAATGCGTGGCCACGAGCACCTAAAGTTCTGTGCTTTATTAGTAACTGCAGTCTCTTCTAAAAATGATATAAGGCAAGAGTATGCCAACAGTGCACTACGGGGAATAGAAATTTCGCACCTAATCGCTGCTTTATGACAAGATAGGATTTAGGTTAAACTATTTTTCCTTTAATAAGTATTTTTAAGCGTAATTTCAACAGGGAACAGAAGCAATGAACAGTTCAAAGTGATAAAAAGACTCAATTTATTATAAAAAAAACAAGAAAATCCGAGAAAGCCGCGAATCGAAATGCACACAAACCACAAAACGAACACGGTGAGGGCGGGAAGAAGCGCAACAAACAGTATTCTGATTGAAGGTATTTGGGCGGATATGCACAGTTGCTTACCTGCAATTCCGCTTCACGTTGTATCCAGTTCAAACGCATCTTTTCCGCCCCACGCTGACAATGCAGAAGTTGAGAACTCAAATTGCGTGCTTGCTCCTGTTCACTAGTCAGTTGTTTCCGTAGCTGCATCAAATACGCTTGACACTTCATGAGGATAAGCATAAAAATCGTTTGGAATACAAAAAATAATTGAGACGAATTACTGCATGAAGGCATGCGATTGACCTTTAAATTGTTGTTAGGCAGATTTGAAGTTTATATGTCGATTGTGAAAAGTTCAGTAGCCTCGATGGGATTCGGACCCACGCATGGACGCCACCTACTGTTTTGCACAGCGCACGCTCTACCAGCTGAGCAACGAGGCCACGCCGAGAGCACTGATCTTATCACGTTCTAATTACCCTTCCAACTTGCAGAGGCGTATGGCGTCCATCAGTTAGTATGTAGTCTGACTGCCCCGACAGGTTTTCCTTACTGAACTTTTCACAATCAACATAAACACTTCAAACCTGCCAAACAACGATTCGAACAATTAATCTTGCCTTAGAAGCTTATTCGGTGGACTCCGGTGAATTCTAAGGAAAGCCTGTAGGGGCAGTCAGCTTGCATGCTAACTGGTGGACGCCGTATACCTCTGTAAGTTGGATGGGTAATTGAAACTAACCTTTAAACAGATGAATCGGTTGCATGACAAACCACACGTAACGACAATCAAATGTCAAGAAGTCTGCTTTTCATCTCATACATTAACTATTACCGACATTATCGCGTAGAAAACCTTGCTGATTCATTCATTCAATTAAATTCAAACAAAGAAACCTCCGTACTGTCACTTTTGGTTAATTACGCCGTTCCCATAACACATTACATCAGTCACCATTCGGTAGTAGACGCAACACAAACCCCAAATGTGAAATACTAAGAGCCCTCAAGCAGTTGCAGCCATTGGACATCGTTGCACTATCTCAACAGATGCACATAATGTAGGGTAAACACTGAGGTTTAAGCACTAATAGGCTGTTTTTCTTTCTCACACGTAATGACTGTGTTTGCACTAAAAAAATGAGCAAGTTACTTTAAGCCACTAGTCGCTTTGTGAGATTAAGGGATAATTACAGACATGATCAAACTGCTGCAGCACACATTCGGACTTTGTGGATGGGCGGACAGTACGGTAACCCGATGAACATCTCCGGTTAGGACTGGAAGAAAAGGCATTTGGAACAGAACGCTTCACAGTGATAAAAAATGGACTTACAGAATGATGTTTAGAAGAGAGCCTAGGTTCTGAATCTCCCACTGGAATTGGAGCACCTTTCTGTTGTGATTGACTGTGGGTTGATTGTATATCCGTTGGTGATCGAACTCTGGTGTTCATTATCGCATTGTTTTGGATGACCGAATGGCACGGTGGATTGGACTGTGAAGGTTGTATGTTATCGGGATTATTTCTGGAATTCACTGAAACAATAGATAAAAATAACTATCGACACTGACAGGTCTCAAACAACAGAAGGACAGTACAAAAGAAGACCAAGATAAAACATAAAATGGATAAAAATGCTGGTTTGCTAAATTAATGCACATGCATGTATGTCTCGAACCAAAAAGGAAAACAATCGGGGAAAGAGAAATGTTACCACCAATTATTACTGCTATCAAGTCACAAATCCAGTGTGAAAGTGAGGACGAGAATTCTATGCTTAGAAGCGAAATCGGGTTACACAGAACTAAACATGCAATCGGAATCAGAGTGGTTGCGATAACTCGAAAACCAAATTCAAATGAGCTATTTGTGGAAAACTATAATAGGAGGACATAGACAAAGGGCAATACCTGTTCTGGACTCGCCCGCTAGCGGGGGAATCACATCCTGCGTCATTGTGAAGGCGTCTTTCTTATCGGGAACTCTGACAATGAGAAACGTAATAAAAGGGTGGCAGGTGAGATTTTCGAGTTAAGAAATACATTGCACATATGTATATGGCGGATTAAAAAAATCGCGTGGAATCAAATCGAACAGTTTTGAAACAAATAAATACGGTTTTACTAGTTCCATGCAAAGTACCAGATATGTCGTTTTTATGTGTGTCTGATTCTTTTCGAGTCCCAGAAGAAACAAAACAATAGTACGCAGAGCTGGTGCGTTTCGACAAGGCGTAAACAGCGGTTCAGTTTTCTTTGATCGCTTTCAAACAATCTTTTGCGAGTTTTGAAACAAGTTTGCCACGATGAACAATGAACATCAGGCAGCTGGATCATGTGTTTAGGGACTCATAAACAACGAGTTATTTTCACCCCGACAGGCAAATAGAAGTATAAACGACGGATGTTGGTGTTTGTGAACTCTGGTACACTGTCACGAGAACAGCGTCTATAGTGAATAGCCGTTCCGATCCGATGATTCCCATACGTTCGCAATATTCTACTTGGACCTTCCGGCATGTTCGCAATCAGTTATGGTCTTCAAAATATGCTATTACCTGTTTGAGATGAAAACGCCCGCCAGGAGGCAGTCAGTGAATGCATAGGCAAGGGTTGTGACCTTAGGCCATCACGGGGCACTGTGAGCGGAGCCCAAAACCGTAAAATCCGCTTGTTGAAAAAAACCCGATCTCGACCAACCCAAAATTTGCAAAATATCACACAGAGAAAAAGCTGTGAGCCTACCAAACACGGACTGGTGAAGAATTCGGGAAAAACAAAGGAAGTTGTCTTGACACTAGCTTACACTGAAGGAGTATCAACAAATGACTGGGTTCCTCGATTGACACATTTACGGACTGAGCGATCGCCGGCGCACTGACGCTGATTATTTTCAACTGGTGTGTCGGCAAGATTCAATACGGTACCACTGTTTCCGTTCATTAAAAGAGCTGAATCGAAAAATGACCCATAGGATTGCAGTATTTTTCGTGCGGCGTTTTGGGCCTGTTGAGCGAGGTTGATAAGATCCCCATCTCCTGAACAGTATGCGGAGTAAAGTAGAATAAATAAGAAAAATATACCCTGCGCGAAGACATTAAACTGTGAAAGATATTGTATTATGCATGCAAACATTTCATTTCACGATCAGCAAAGGTATAAAATGCATAATCAGAGACCGACTGAACACAGTGGTATGTTAAAGAGTAGCCATCTTATTAAAACCGGCTCAATAGATTAGAAGCTTACGGTAAGATATAGAAAGAGAAGCTAAGTTTAGTTCAGTTCGGTTTTACAACCATGATCCATGCGCTTTCGTGCGCCGGTTTTGGTTTCTGTCTCTTGGCTGCCCAGTTAGGAGTACAGGAAGATTGGAATGCTCCAATCAGTTTTAACGTTACCTTGTTTTCATAGCAGCCAAGTTTCTGGTCCATACATTAGAGTTGGTGGAACTGCTGCGGCATAGACTTGACTCTTCACAGAGAGCCAGATGTTTTGACAGCACCGTAGATGTCTTAATCTGGCAAATGCCAATCGAGCCTTCTGTATGTGTATCGGCACTATCCATGATGCGTCCGCCAGGTGAGATATAGCCTCCGAAATAACGAAATTTGCCTACTTCCTCTACTAGTTCCCCAGTTAGAGTCAGGTTGCTACCTGGAAAAACGCAATCCTGCAACCAGATTTACCACTGAAGGCGCAAAAGGAATGCCGAACATAGCTATACTAGCACTCAAATTACCCAGAAAAGCTTGCAACTTACACTGATATTCACTTAGCAGTACAATATCGTTTGCATACTCCAGTTCAGACAGTCTGCCATTTGGGAGCAATTCGATGTTACTATCTTCGCAAGAGCAGAAGGCTGCTTCCAAAATTAAATCACTAAGGAACCTGATTCGAAAAAGAGAGAGAGGGTAAACCTGACGAGCACCACTTTCTGTAGTGAACTCGGGCGAAAAAGTGCTGTAAGCTCGGACTCGGTTTCGGCTGGTAGTTTATAGACTTCTCGGATGCGCCCTCCAGAGAGAGGACAATGTTGATCAAACTAATTCCTCGGTCGTTTTTGTAAGAGGACCTACCATCTTTCTTGTCCGTATATGCACCGACTGGCTGCAGTGTACCCGAAATAAAGCTAACGGGGTTGATCATTTAGTGCAAATCGTTTTGCGTCGGTCTGTGGGTCTGATAGCTAAACAAAAGGATCCAAACCACAGATGCAATTTGCCCAGAATATCAGCCATGAGATTAACAAGAAAATAGTATATATATATATATATATAAGGAAATGAAACTATTAATCCTGACTGGCCTCATTTTCACTTAAAATCATGAGTTCATTCAGTCATAGACTCGGAGGAACGATCAGATCAAAAACGTTCACCCTATACTACTAATATAAACAAAATAGCTTATCATTTCGCAAAGTCCAGATTTCAATGATACTCCATTATTGGATTGATAGCTGGAAAGTTGGCTTGAGGAAAAGAAAAAATGAGTAAGATTAATAAACTATATAGTAATACCATTCGTGAAAGCACACAACTGAAGCGGGAAATGAGTTCCCTGAGGCGCTGCGAGAATAACTGAGAGGCTCGTAAATTTGAGAAACGCGAACAGAAATGTTCTGTCTGCTTGATACAGGACTCTACAACCAGATTGTAGCGTAGTGGTCGTTGGGGTTGCGGGTGGGGAGAGACCGCAGATCTACAAGTTTAATTTCGGAGGGACATCAACATCAGTCGTTTTAGCCAGGAATACATATATATATATATATATATATATATATATATCAACGACTTGCGAACAGGTATGGTGATAACGCAACAACAATAATAACAGAAGATTGGGGAAATTCGGGTACAAAACAGAACTACATGAAAAGAAAACAATTACTCCAGCGAGATTCTTCGATATATACAGGATCACCTCATCCGATTGACGGGGATTGTGCAAAGCACAAGAATACTTGAGCGAAAAGCATATCAGTAGATCGTCAATCGATGTGCAGCAGTGATGCCCATGTTGACGGTGGCTCAGGAGCGCGTGGTACTCTAACTGGGGTAGCAATTGCTTCGATCTAACGGTTTTCGTGGTTTAGACAGAACTGAGGAAAGGAAAATGGGTGAATAATAATAGAGCTGTCTCATGAGTGGGATTCTATTTATCACCACAGAGGCCATTAATTTATTGTCATTGAACTAACCGCAAGATAAAACTTAATTTTGTCGCTTTTTCTGACGATATTTTGAATCGGTAAAAATTATAATTTTATAAAATCTGCAGTACGCTTATAAATGACTCACCTGTAAGAATGACCATTTTTCTCAATTTTGGAAGAAGTTGACTCAAATTGCACGCTTGTAGTGCACCCAACACGTTGTGACTGTTGCGCTGTTGAGAGGTAATAGGAACTAGATCGTCTTGCAGCAATTGAGTTGCTAAGACGGTCACAGAATCCATCGGCTCAGACTCCAAACAGTCGGAGCGCGACTTCGTTAACGGACAAGTAGCGGTGGTACTACGGCAATCTTGATTATTAAACCCTGGAGTCTGAGGGGAAAATATAAAACAATCCACACAGTAAGTTTCTTAGTTTCTCAAATCCCATTAATATAATACTCTATGAATGAGATCGGTGGTTTGCTAACGAACGTAACAGTAAATCCACAACCTTTCTATCTTGAGGTTACTGAAGTTGGGTTAAGATAAAGCACTGAATGGACTATGGAGATACCTCTGACTGTTTACCACAACTGGGAAATGATATAAGCTATTGTAGACAGACGGGTAGATGCGCTTATGAGACTTTTCAAATACTTTCTATGGCATTCGTATGTTCAAATTCGGAGAAAAGGAAAAACCAACCCGTAAGGCCTGTGTACGTTTATTTGAAGCATCTGATGTTTGGGAGTGTCGGCTCTAAAATGAATTGAGTTCGCATAGACTCAGGTGGACTTCTTACCGGTTTTTCTGGTAACTTTGATCTAATAATATCAGCCATTAGTTGCTATTGAACTTGAACTTACGCCAAGGTGCAGCGTTTTCGATCGGTTATTTGGTTACCTCGGTTGCTTTCATTGCTGAAAAATTCTGTGACAAAGCTCGTTAGAACAAAGAACGGAGATGTGTGCAACCAACCTTTATCTCTGACCCTGATTTGCTCAAGAACCTCTTTCAAAAGCAATCAAAAATATAATCAAAATATAACTCACGTTCACTTAAAATGATATTTTTCAGTAATGATTCATACTCTTTCAACATTTTATTTCCATCCTAAGAGAAAAGATTGAGTAAGAAGTTCAACAATTACCTTTCTTGGATATTGCAGGGTTTGCGCCATATCTGATATCCGCGTGTTGCAAAACTGGTGAAACTAGAAACTCTGAAAACAAACCCACAACAGATAGAAACGCAATTCCGTCTAAGAGCTATAGGTATCAACTTTCCGGTCTGCACTAAAAACTTGTTAAAGTTCAGCCACAGTTCCGCGGTTTAGCATGATTGAACGCGAGTTAACTTACGATTTAAGATTGTTTCAAAGGCCGATAAAAAGCGTGAGACAGGTTTTTCATCTTTATTGAACCCCGTCAGCAATGTGTACTAGTTTTATGTTCATATAAAGTGCCTATAACCTGCGAATTTTAATGGGTTAATCCAGACATTATAAATTATAAGATCCCCAGTATGGTCGGAGACAGCTTTCTTGGGTTGCGACTGGTTACCTTGTGACTCCTATATGACATCTCAAATATCCTCTACTGAGGAAGTCTTAATCAATGCATTCACGTGGTGGTATTTCATTATCAAAGTAAGAGGACGACAAGTCAATATCTGGGACTATGACCGAGTCGGTGGATCACTAGCAGTTCACATAGGGGTGTTGGCTAAAACCCTTATTCCAAGACAACCAAGATAATCCAGACGAACCACCAACACCATCCCGGTTGTGGGTATGGTTACCAGTGCGACTGAGCACCAAAGTGTATTTTGCTTTTATAACACTAATCTTTATAGATACGGTGCACAAATCACGATCGGTTGTAATAAAAATACAGAAGCATCACAAAAACGACACAAAAGCGATCGGTTTTGAGTAGGAACTTACAACTTTTGCTTTTTAACTGCATGCAATTTTGACATTTTTGTCTTTTAACTTATGGGATTGTAGACAGGGTGCATTTACACCACTGACTTCAGTTTGATTCTAATTCCCGCGGTGACTCCAAACAACGACAATCTGAATCTTTGGGCCCCAGTCCGGAAGTACCGACGGAAGCCAGATCCCAACACAATTTCTTCAACAACACGCTACTTTATGGCTTGCCCATCTAGCTCTTTCTTCCAGTCCGGTTCGATGTTCACAAGTAACGCACAGTACGACAGACGTGGTTCAGTGGCCACTTCATAAGCACTGATGCTGTCACCTCGGCTGGTGATGAAACGTTTGCAAAGTTCCAAGCTCGGTGAACAGGCGAAATATAAGACGTTCATGCATTCGTATGACGTGCCCCAGTCACCTCAGACAATGCAGTGCAACGGTTTTGCTCAGTAGAAGACAATCTGAACCTAACACAGTTTAGTTCAGCTCTTACAACCATTAACCGTGTACTTTCGTGAGCCGGTTTTGGTTGCTATCTTTTGGTCGCCCATTTGATAAAACAGCAGAATGAAGATTAGAATGTTGACAGGAGGTTCAAGCGGAAGATAGCACATTTATATAGACTGAAGATAAAAGAATAATGAGTAGATGCATGCGTGGCACTATTTGCGACACCCAACCATATAGCTCAGTATCTCTAACTATCGGTGGTCATGATCTCTGGATCCCCATCCAGGGAGCCTAACGGAACTTATGTGAGTCAGTCTTCCGGTCAGGGTTTTCATACCCTCATGCCAGGTCTTAGCTTGATCACCCTTAACCTTTTTCCAACCGCTACCTGTCTCGGAAAATATCGCTCGCCGTGGAAACCTATTTGGTGACATACGTAGCACATGTCCCAACCAGCGTAATCCATGAAGGCCGACCACTTGCTTTAGTGGACGACCGCGATTACCTAAAACCCTACGCCTAACCTCAGCATTGCCCGTTCGGTTATCCCACCAGACTCGTACAATGAAATGTAGGCAGCGGTGTTCGAACACCGACAATCTATTTTTATCCTTTTCCCGTAAGGGTCAAGTCTCTGCACCGTAAAGCAGCACTGGCGGGATGTCGCGACGGCGCCACAGATGTCTCAAGTTAGCAAATGTCAACCGAGCCTTCCGTATGCGAGCTGAAACTTCATCCGTGATGCGTCCACCGAGTGAGATGTAGCTGCCCAAATAACGAAATTCATCGACTTGCTCTATTACTTCCACGGAAAGAATGAGGCTGGGTGCTGAACTAACCTGGTCTTGTAGTAGCATTTTACACTTTGAATGTGCAAAACGCATACCGTTTCAGTTTCAGTTTGTACAACCAATAACCACGCATATTCGTGGGGCCGGTTTTGGTTGCTGTCTTTCGGCTGCCCATTTGGATGAAGAATAGGGGAAGAAAGGAAAGATGAAAGGGGAGTCGAACAGAAAATGGATAAGTTCAGTGGTCTAAGGTTGCAAAGAAATTGAGATGCAAGCATACCGAACATGGCTACACTGGCATTCGAGCTGTACAAAAAAGCTTGCAACTTACCTGCATCTTCAATTAACAACACAATGTCGTCTGCTTACTCTAGATCAGATGGTCTGCCACCTGGAAGTAAATCTATGCCATTATCGTCGCACGAGGATAGGGCTGCTTCAAGAATTAAATCTATGACAAAGTTAAATAGAAACGGAGAGAGGGAAACCCTGATGAACACCACTTTCTGTAGTGAACTCGAGTGAAAAAGTGCCGTAAGCTCGGATTCGGCTTCGGCTATTATTGTAGAGAGATTGTAATATTGAAATAAACTTCTCGGGCACACCCTTCAGGGAAAGGCAGCGCCAGAGTTTAGAGCGGTCGACTGATTCCAAAGCCGCTTCCAAATCGAGGAAGACAGAGATCGTTGGTCTGTGAAAAGAATATCGACGCTCGAGAACTTAGCAGAGTGAATATGTGGTCGATACTACCTCGACCGGGTCTAAAACCAGCCTGGATCTCATGTGTACTTTCTTCACGAGCGGTAGACAATTGACGGAGTATGATACCAGAGAGAAGTTTGGAGGCAATGTTGATTAACTAATTCCTATGTGGTTTTCACAAGAGGACCTGTCGCCCTTCTTGTAAATCGGTATGATCACCGATTCAAACCATTCTGTTCGAACCTGTTTTCTCTCCCACACTGAACCCAGGAGTTTCGTTAGCTCCAAAACCAAGCCCGGCCTCCATTCTTAAAAACGGATGAGGACAGCCCGTCGGGGCCGGAAGCCTTATACCTTTTGAGATGGCTTTTTCTCAGGTAACCTCCATTTCAGATGGAGGACTGATGTCAACTGGCTGTATTTTCACAGTTGAACCGAAGATAGGGAGGTCTTATGCTGATGAGGGCCAGCTGAATTGAGCCTTTAAATGTTCTGCCCACATCATCTGACCTCATCGCGATGCTATAATCATGCGCGGGTGACGTGGAAATCAAGGCGTATGGGGAACATTGAACGTTCAACCCCGCCCAAGTGGCGCATGACCCGATGAACTGGGCACCAATGGATTGCAGTTTTCACAGAGTGACCAAGTGCCTTTCAGATCAAGCTTGAGCTAAACAAAGGCTCCGGTTGTTAATTCTGCAAGAAAATTCACCTCCTTTGGACTGGGTAATCGCCCATTAGCAAATCATGGATTTCTTCCTTTGTTATAAAGTTTATTGCAATGTGGTTTGTTTGGCGCAGTCGGAATTCTTACGAAATATAATAGTAATAATTCATTTAATTGGTCACGACTGTCGCTTGTTGCATAGAAGCGTTTAGAGTTGAAAATTAATCGACTACATAAAAGTTTTGCTAGTGCACGAAACGTCTCAATGGTATCCCTTTAACTGGCTTGGTGACTAATGATCAGTTTTAGTTTGTGTGCGGCTTAGTTGAGTTTACTTAACTACTACCGTTACATTATCGTGTAAGTCTTGGTTTACTTTGTTTTAAACTGCCTATGCGGACGAACAATGACAAAGCAAACAGAAAAGGAACGAGATAAGAGTAGTGTCAAAATAAACATAGTTTAAGTAAAATAAGCACACAGAAATGAAATACATACATGGGATTCAATGTTCACGACAATCAATAAACCCCGAAAAATATGAATATCATTGCCGTCATCTGATTCACTGTATCGCGATTCTATTATTTTAGTAACTAACGGAGATGATTTCAACATACATCAACTTACTTGGAAGAAAATCAATTTCTGTATTTTAAATTTAGACAAACGATTTATCTCTTAGGAAGAAAAGAAGAAAAATCAAGGAAATAAATTAAGGGTAAGTAATCAGATTTAGTTTCGGACA